AACAAAGCAGAAAATACACAAATATTCAATTTCGATAAAGGAAAATATATCAATTTCAATCACATAATATCCACGTGTTAAAAAAGTAATAAATTTTAGCTACGTAAATGTCAATTTTTAAGAAAAGTTGTAAATTTCGCCTGAATAAGTAATCAATNAGGTATGCAGATGGGTCAGAGTTGTTCCCGGGCCCATGTTAACTATAAACTTTAACGTTGGAATGTGGGATTAGTTTCGAATTGAACGGATGTTTATGTCGAACATAAACGAAAAGTTTTTTTTTCGTTAGGTTCCACTTATTTAATTAGATTTTAATCAAATACAGGACAATTGAGCGACAAATAGCCGACAAAACTTCCGGATTTCACAATACGCATTTTATTACTTAATTCTTGACTTTAATATAGAAAGAAAACGTAAAGTAAAAAAAAGGCTGTGTTTTAATAACTTGTTTTATCTCTTGAGTAAGCGAAGTATTATCGAAAATTGACTTAGAAACAGGCGTGATGAGTTTGTAAAGAAAAAAAAAATATGTATATAAAAATGTCAAGAAAAAATTAAACAAAATTTTAATCTAAAATATATTTAGCAGTCAAGTAAAAAGTTGTATTATCCAATTACTCCTGAGAAGATTTTTGCTTTCATCTCATTCTGTAACATTGATCTGTTATACTTTTTTTTTTATAAGACCAAGCCCCAAGACACATCTCAAACTGAATCGTCAAACACTTGTAAAAGAGTTGTATGTAAACTTAACCAAATCACTCCACTAAATCTGCTACTTTATTCTGAAAATTTTCAATTTTAAGAAAACATCAGCATACTTTCTACTAAAGCAAGTTACTACTTATTTATCCTATTTACTTAACCTTTGATGTTATAAAACTCACTCAGAATGAATGTAAAATGGCATATTATATAAGCTTTCCTTTATTGTAATTTTCTTTTTTTGTTTCCTTTGCTGAAATTTTGATAAGAATTGCTAGATAATTTTGTTGTGATTTTTCTAAAAAATGAAATGTTACCTGAATTTTTTATGGAGCATTATTTGTTAAATTCTTGTTTATAGATATTAAATTTAGATGACGACGAGACGAAATTTTAGCTATACACACGAGATTTTATGAGTGTTTTACTTGTATTTTTTTATTCGGGTTAAAGGTCAAATTATATATGCATTAAACATAGTTTTTACGATAACGTGATCGAATCGTATGCTTCTATGTAACGAAATCGATTAATTTTGAAGGAATCACGTGCGTAATCACGTGTTTCTTTCTAAAAAGTTTTGCTTAAATCAAATATATGCTAAATTGTGCACGAAATCTCTGAAACTTCAAGTTATGATTGAACCGTGTTTCTTGTAATTACATACGATCAATTTACATATTTTATCGTACTTAACATGGATCCAATGGCGCCATTTTATACTAAAATGACGAATGATATAATTTTTACAATTTATTATTAACTCTGATAGACTAGGGGAGTAGGCTTCATGCTAACTTAAGATTCAATTTGGCATAAATATGTGTTCGAATCGAGAAAGAGTAACATTTCAGAATACAGAACCGATAAAGTCACGTGAATAGCATATTAAAAGTGGTGTCACGTGATGTGGAGATGTTTGAAATGCGATTATTTTAAGCTTATTACTACAAAAGTTAATTTAAATCACGTGATTTTTTGAAATCGGACATAATTCTCTTTATATCGAAATCGAATTACACGCTGCCTTTACGACACGACCAACAGGGAGGGAGGGTAATCACGTGCATTTCTTAACAATTTCATGCCAAGACGAGATCGAAATTGTTAAGTATACTAAATTAAATCAGTTAAGGGCAACGATCTTTTGTCAGTAGTTTCTAACATTTACCACAAATTAATTTAAAATTCCAAATGTTTAATTCTACTTAATTTAAATTTGTTTTATTGTTAAGCAAAAGTTTGTCATAGAACTAAACTTTTTACTGTACTTAATTACTAAAATTTAATATACTTTTCTAGATTTTTAATTACATATATACCTTTAATGCATGTGTATACACCTACCTTATACATATACTTGAATATATTTATTTATTTTTATAAGGTTTATAATGGAAACAAAAAGAAAACATTTATTCAACATCTTAAAAACATGTGGATTTTTTTGAAGATGATTTATTAAGATAAAAATATTTGAAAGAAACAAGAGAGGAATATTTTATAATATTTTAAATGATATGAAACATATTTTATCGATTTTACAACAATTCCAAAAGCTTTCTCCAGATATTAATATAAAAAAATGAATAATATTTTAGAAAAAAATATAAAAATTTCTGACCAAAATTGATAACTTGACTGGAAATTTTACACTATAAACCTACTTTATATGGCCTTTTTTTATTCTATACTCACAGTTATTACAAATTTCATACACTCTGTATGCTTTATAATATATAACAATGGTGAAAAGATGAATGACAGACTGTAATTTTGCTACTTTTTTAGAAAGAAAAATGTGTAGAAACTGTAAAAAAAAAGCTATTGAATTAGTTAAAAAATGATAAAATGTCATATATACAATTTTTATTTATTTATTTATTTTGAATAAATTTCTTTAGACATGAATTTTAATCCTTAACGATATTTACATTCTAGAAGAGAGATTAAAAATTCTAAACGTAACTTTCAATTTTATTTAAGTATAAGAATGAAATATATTTAAATTTTCCAATACATATCGTTAGCATTTTTTTGTATTATTTTTATCTTCAATTCTAGTCTTTTTTAAAAAAATAAAAGAAAATATATAAAATTTCTATCGAAAACTTACAGTTTCTAACTTAAAAATTATGGATATCGCTTTAGGAAAATGTACGAAAAGTTTTCTACAAAAGGATTTAAATTTCGTGTAAACAATTTTATAATTAAATTAAGAATTGGAAGTGAAACAGTTAGCAAATTTTAGATTTATAATTGCTCATTTGGCACGTAACTAGTTAAAGAGGAAAAGTGTTTTAAAAATAAAATTAAATTTGTCAATTCCTAAATGTTCAAACAAATTTATAAATTTTGTAACTTACAAAAAGTTTTCAATTTGACGAAAAAATTATAAATTGCTTACGTATTGAAATTTAAAATTCCTATTTTATTTATTTTTAAATTGATGTTGAAACTTAAAAAAAAAAAAATTTAACAAATATTGACGTTTTAAAAAATATTGTAAATTTCAAATGCAGTTGTCTATTTATAACAATGTTGCTGATATTTAAATGTTTTGTTTCCCTTTCATGTGTAAATTTCAGATAAAGAAATAGAAAAAAAAACTGTCAGTTTATGGAAAATATATTTCACTTTCCATTCATACCTGATGCATTTTTAGCAGAAATAGATTATAAAATACAAAACACATCAATTACAATAATTTTCAAAAATCTGAAAAAGAAAAAATATATATATTTCTTTTTAATTAAATTGTCGTAATTGACAATTTTTGAAAAGAAAAATCATAAATTTGTTACGTGTAAAATGAGTATTTAAATATATTTCAATTTCATTTTACACGTGGCTTTTTTTTATTATTTAATTTAAAAAAATAATCAATTTCGACTCTATTCAAACAGCTGAAAGACATTTTAATTATTGCAATTGACAATTACACTGATAAAAGTTATAAACGTCATTTATCAGGTGTATTTGTTTGTTGTAAAATATTTCAGTTTTATTGACACGTGTTATATTTTTAAAAAATGTAACGGTTTTTTTTAAATAATAATCAATTATAACAATAATGTGTAAATTAAAGCATTTTAAAATAATTTTTATTAATAAATCTCAATATATTTTAAACTTTTTAACAATATAAATGAACGAAATATATTTTAACTATTATAATATGTTATTAAATTTCTTATATTTTATGAGATATATTTTAATTTCATTAATACGTGCTGTGTTTTAACAAAATAGAGCATTAATTAGTATAATTTTCGGGCAATTAATACTTAACTGTAGGATTTTTATTACATTCGAAATTATTAAGTAAAAAAATAAATATTGCCTGGCTCCTCTTATGTATCTTCTGTACCATGAGTGTGTAGAAATTGTATTTTCGATGTGAAAAATAGTTCATTTTCATTCACAACGATATATTTTAACAATTGCAACAATATTTACTATTTTTTCCATCTGTCTGTCCTTCGTTAATCTCGAGAACGGAGTTAAAAAGATGAAAATCAAGACCAAATATGGTAATCTTAGGGGTCAGATGGCTCGATTAAGTATTTACGAACTTCTGGTCTGGACCGGAAGTTACGTGATTTTTTTAATTGAAATATGATTAAAAATTGCAGCCCGACATTGCGACGATGTCACAATAAATAATCGTTCGTTGTAATTGATAATAATCAAAGATCTTAAAATATAAATTTCATATAATGTTTACGTCATAATAGAAATATACAGCATTTCAATTTCATTCGCGCGTCATAATATAATTCTTTTTTAAGATAATGGTAAATTTCAACAATAGTGTGAATCCGAAACATTTATTTTAATTGTCGAAATCGACAATTATACGAAAAATTGTTGTAAATCATATTTAAAATCGATTTTCAATTTCATTCACACGTGGCATGAACACGTGTTTTAACCGAAACGATCGAATTATTTCTTTTTATTTAATGTTATCAATTACGACAATGTTCAATAAAGTAAAATATCTTTTTAATTAAATTGTTGTAAAGAAATAAATTTAAAAAAAAAAAACTATAATGTAAATGTAAACAGATATTTGCATCTTTCATAGATTTTCATTAGTCGATTTTAGAAGCGATAATAAGACCAGCATCTATCACGTGCCGTTTAAAGTTACTTCTAGAAGATTGAATTTTCTGTTAAAAAGGTAGAGGTCGATGTATAAATTAAACACAAACACACTTATTTAACTTTACATAACAGTATTTGGGAGTAAGTGACAGTTGTGTCATTGCATAAACATCGAACGACTTCCTCATCTGACAGGAGGCGAGTTGTGCTCTTTGATGTGCTGCATCTAATAGAAACTGTATTAATGCTTCACGGAAACATTTTCCGTCCGTGGAGAAACGGAAGTAGGTGTCGCCACATACTTGGGTCGATGGCGCTCCTAGCTTTCTCGTGTCCACCAGAGGGAAGCATTGAACCTGTAGCGCAGTCTTTAGGTGCATTTCGTGCGGATCGGACGTGCTTTTCGTTATTTCTACACACTCATGGCACAGAGGAGGCATTACAGGAGCGAGGCAGGCATTACTCCTCCCATTATAGGTAAGTACACATTTTCCAGCTTTCTAGCTAATAATTTCGACTTGTCGCGTGTTTCAAATCTTACCATCCTGACTCAAAAATATGCATACAAAAGACGTTACACAATTATGCTCCTGCTGTTTAATTATATAAAGTTGAGCAAAATTTCGATTTCTTCTCTCCACGGCAATTTTTTCCTCATTTATCTCCCACATACTCTTATAAATAAATGTTTTAGCACACTTCTAAAATGTCTACTTTTATGGTTATATAAGCATCTTGATATGTAATTAAGTGAAAATTTCTATGGGGGGTACTTCAAGACGTCATTTATTCACTGTGTTAAAGCGAACGTGACTCGAATTTTACACAATAAAAGAACTTTTTATGGAATCGATTTATAATAATAATATTTGAGAAAATAACATTAAAATGCAATTATTTTACACTTACAAAAAATGCAAAAAGAATTCTTGTTTTTTTTTGGATTGATTCCAACACGTGCGGACACTACAAAAATTAGTTTTTACTTCCGATGTGAAAGTGAGAGTGAATTATTGGAGTTTTGTCTAAATTTTGGCATCTCCACATGATAAATGTGTTTTATGGAAAGGTTTTTTGTACTTTTTATGGTGATAAAATATTAATCATAGGAAATTTTGGGCATGTCCAAAATATTGACAAAACTTGTAGATCGATCTCTTTTTTAATTTTATTTTTGCGTTTTTTTAATTGTATTTTTGAACTGTGATGGAATTTTGAATTTTTATTCTATGAAAGATAATGTTGTAAGTTAGAAACGATCATCGATTGCGTTTTATTCTAGTTTTTATATATTTTTTTTTCTTTTTTTTTACAAATGATACATACCGATACATTGACACGAAAGCTTTATGAAGGATTTATTTAGTATTTTATATCTTTTTTTTTCTTAAAAAAATACATTCTAATCTTAATATTTTTGCAATTTAGAAATAGTATCGAGCAATTTAGAAAATGTATTTACATGACACGGATAATGTTTTAGTAAAATAAAGAAAGGAAGAGAAGAATTTTGATTTTTATATATTTTCATATACAAATGTTCTCCTTGATATTGCTTTTAACATCAGAAAAAATTTGAAATGTGATAAGTTCTCGTTGGAATTTTTACTTTTTATTTTTAATTTCCTACTTTTAAAATATATAATCAATCAAAACCATTTATTGCACTTAGATTTGCATCTATCAATGTTAAAAGATTGATGCGTTAAATATATATATATATATATACATTAATATATTATATATGCGTTCGGTGTGGTGTGTGCTGTGAAATTTTAAAATATAAATTGCTTTCTAACTTACGTTGCAAATTTTAAAAATGCAATCTTAACACGTAGTGTTGTTAGTATGAAAGATGATCTAGTATCAGCGTGATACGTTCATAAAAAAATAAGTATGAAAAAATGGGGGGTAATCTTGTCACTCACACTACCTTGGCCAAGTTGCTAAACGTGTGTCATCAAATTTTTCAAAATATCCTTGATCAATTTTTATTTTTTTTTTTACTATTTTTTTAGTTCTTTCTTTACGAAGACAGATGTAACAGATATCGACATCTTTTATTCAAAAAAATTTTCAATTTCTTCATGGATATTATTCAAAATGTCGAGATACTTTACGCTTCTCTTGATTATAAACCAAAATAGATTTTTGAAAGCTAAAAATATAATGTATTTGGCTTTATTCCTGATTTTAATTCCAAAACATGTATCTTGGAAAATATTTTATTCATGTACGATAGATATAGATATATGTTTTTTTTTTTTTCTTTCTTTATCTTCAATATAAAATTCGATAAATTTGCTTGGCGTGTAGACGATTTATGAGAGAAAAACATTGTAATGTCAAAAATTATCGAATGCGTCTAAGAATTTTTTTTTTTATATTTTACACTTTGATATACATTTTAAGTCAATTTTTTAATATATTTTTTTACTGTAACCGTTCAAATATCGGCTTAGTTTATAGATTTTGCATAAATTTTATAAAGTTAGAACATAATTTATAATTATTCTATGTAATTTTAGAATCTAGTTTAATTGTAATCAACTTTTTAAGCTTAAAATAATTTTGAGATTAAAAGTTTTAGCTTAATTTATTTACATTAAACGCTAACTTTATGTATAATACTTAGTGCTGCTTTGAGTAAGTACTTAGAAGAAGGTTTAAGCTTAGTAAACTTAAAATTAAATCTCTAATTTATAAAATTTGAAGTCATTTTTAGGTGTTTTGCTTATGTGACGACGTCAACCGTAAAAATTATTGCAGTTTCAACAGTTCGTTTTAGAGTTTGTCTGAAAGCATTTCTTAGATATGTGGAGAATTCTTACATATGATTGTGTTATAAGTATATTTTTCTATTATTTAACTCATTATATAGCTTAGAAGTTATAAAAAACGGGGATACAACATATGACACGCTCAGGTTGCATTGTACAGTTTGAATAAGCTAGTTTCACAATGCAATAAAATACAACGAGGTCAGAATTGTAGTACAATTTCTGCTTCAGTTGTATAATATATCAAATCGATCAAACTACTTTTTACTTCTTACCTTTCCTTTACATTTTTAGGCAACGTAACGGCTTGCAAATGGAGTCAAAAAAGTAATTATTTTAACGCGTTTATTTAATAATGAATTAACTTAAATTCCATCATTTCTATCGACTTTTATTAATAATATTGGAAGAATTATGTTAACAAGTTAACGCCGGAGAATTAAAATAATCTCACCTCAAAGTATTCAAAGTGTGAATATAAAGAGGGAGAGATAGAAGTCAATTGCTTTAGATTGGAATTATATACATGGAATGTGTGGTTTCGGTTGGAGGATTCTAACTCATATCTACATTTCCAGTCCTAACTAATACTTGCACTTCCGCTTTACGTCAGTTAATCTCTGCAGGATGCGAGAGATAAATCTCTAGAGTCTATTTCGTTCTAAACTAAAACCCCATCCCCCTCCTCCTCATCTGAATTACTTGGAGTAGATCTGGTAGATTCTTATTATGTTATTTTTTGTGATGATTTATTATTCGATAAATCAAAAAATATTTTTATGGTAATTTTATATTATTTCCCCTTTCTTCAGATTAATTCTGAAGTGGATCCCATATTTATTTTTTAAATTACTTTTTAAGTTGGGACGATGACAGCTTCAATTTTTTTTTTATCCTGTTAAATTGTCGAAAGAAAATTTTATATTCTTATCCACTTTTAAATTTTCGATAAAATGGTTTTATATACTTCTTTTTAACGTTCTTGTTTATTATGTTTATGAAGTAATATACTCAAAAACCTTACGTTTGTGGCGTAATATACATAAGAAAATTGTTATACTTGTGACGTAACATATTCTAGAATAGAATGTTTGTGACGTAATACATTCAAAAATCCTTATGTTTTTTAAAGTAATATAAACAAAAACAATTATCTTTGTGACGTAATATATTCTAAAATCGAATATTCGTAACATAATATTTAAAAAATCATTATATTTGTGGCGTAGTATATTCTAGAACAGAATATTTGTGACATAATATAATCAAATCCCTTATGTTAAGACATAATACATGCGATAAATCTGTAATGATTGTGACGTAATACACAAAAAAAACTGTATTTTATTACGATTTTCTTGGTTATATCTCTGTATAAAGTATATATTGATGTCTACTTCTTTTGCCGTAATTTGATGAAGCGTTTTTTAAGATTTTTTTCCCGTTTATCAGCATTTCCTTTTTTTGTTGTAACCTGATAAAACATTTTGCATATCTCAATTCGTTTCTAGTTCTGTCAAGTGGTAAAACATTTTGCATATCTCTGTCCATTTCTGAGGCTGTCAAGTAGTAAAAATGGTTTGCATATCGCTACTTTTCTATCATTTTTCCATAGAGTACAGTCGTTTTTTTTTCTAAAAAACACTCTCAAATTTTGGCTTCTGTAATACATCAAAATAGTTTTAACTTTTTCTAAAAATAAAAGAATTCCTTGAAGATTTGTAACACATATTTTGCATTTATATCGTATTTTTTGCCTTAAAAGTGCGTGATAAATGCTCTAAAAGTGTCGTATTTTTAGGATAAGATTCGCAATTTTTTTACCAAAAAATATTATTAAAATTTGATTCTTATTCGAAAAAAAATTTTTTTAGCATTTTAAGTAATTTTTTTAAGGTTTAAAGATCTAAGATTTTTCAGTTTAACCGTAAATAATTTTCGAATAAAGACTAAATTCTGTTTTAAGGCTAATTTTAATTCATTTTCTTTTAAAAATTTTCATAATTTTACGCAATTTTTAAAATAAATGCATTTAAATAAAGTTAATTTTAAGGGTATATAAAGGTGCATAATTTTTTCAAGAAATCCAAACAAAATTGGAACAATTTTTAAAATCTTAATTCCAAAAAATTTGAAATTTCCTCAAAAATCGTTCTTTTAGGAAATCTCTTTTAAAAAATTCCTTAAGTTATGCACATTTTAAAAGGTATAATTCAAAAAGCTATAAAACATCGTAAAATAACTTTAGTTTTTTTTCTACTTTAGTAATAGTAAATTTCCCCAAAATTCCACCAATTTGGGGAATTTTTTAATAAGTTACTACAACTATCTTGAAACATAAATACTCTGGAGAACGTCTCTAAAAATTATGACAATTATAGGGACATAATTTTTGCAAAAATCCTTAAAACTTCTCGACGTAAGGGATATTTCCTGAAATAATAGATTTTTAGGGATATTTCCTGGAATAAGATTTTTAGGGATATTTCCTGATAAAGTCTATTTGTAGGAATAACATTTTAGGACATATTCCTAAAAAAAATCTTTATTTTTTCAAGAAATATTTCAACAATCTTTTACTTTTAAGGAAATATCCCTAACTTTAAGGATTTTTAGAATAAGGAACTTCAGGGATTTTTTTAAAATTACGTAATTTTAAAAAAATCCCTGAAGTTCCTTATTCTAAAATTCTTTAAG